GTCCAGAAGAGAAACCTCCGCTACTATTGAAAAGCCATGGTACTTTTTGGTTACTTTGCTAACTAAGATTGATGCGGTCAAATCTTATTTATTTATTTTATCCCCCTGAATTTTTGGCATTGAATCTATAACTATCATTCATCAATTTCGACAAATGCATATCAGAAATGTTATGGCACCGCTGCAGTTGCTTGACACTTCCATATTCTTTGTTGGTTCTTGAGTACCTTATATTTTTATCTTATTAATGTGGTTTTGGTATATTATGATACACAATGGGTAGTTTATCTCCCCCTGGGCCCAAATAACCATTTGAGCTTGAAATATGAGTACCTACTTATGGCAGTTCACAAACTAGAAATGTTTTAAGGAGCATCTTTTTAAAGATTAGCACAAACATTTGAGAAATCTAGGACTGTAACCCGAGGCTTTGATGTGAGAGGATGCGCAAGGCCCTACTAGACCTAAGGGGATGAATTAGTCTTTTGCATACTTTGATAATTTTTACTTAATTCGATTTTAACAAATTTTAATCAATCAATTAATCATAATTGTGCGAATCATCATCTACTCAAATAATCCCAACCACAAAGTAATAAAGCAAATTAAATCAAGACAGATTTATTTATCAAAAAGAAAGAAAGAAGACAGATTTACGTTGAAATGAGTTGAATTGTGCAGTGGAAGATATATGGGACATTTGGTATATAATTCAGGCCAAAATAATAGCATTAATGGTTTTAAATTTTGTTCTTGTCCATACTGCTGGGAGGGGATGGGGGTCATGTGGGAATGTTTTCTAATGATTCTACAACTATTACATGGAAGCTCCATTTAGTATCCTGGTTTTCCACAGCCTGTGCATTTTGTTGGTGCTTGCATATTATGGACATGGTTTCCATCCGAATGCATTTTGTGATTGTTACATATTAAATCCGCTCTTATATTATTGTCAGAAATGCAGGCGTACACGGAGGAAGTGCTAAAAAATGTGTATAGCTGCTCAGAAAAATATCGTTATTGGCTTATATTTGGAACAACAATGCAGTGGAAAAGTTTAGTTAGTTTAGTTTTCTTGTTGCAACGTTAATGGGTTGTATACTTGTAGTTGAAAAAGTGGGGGTGTTTAGTTGCTTGCATTTATTAGAAATGCAGCTGTTACGGAACTTGTCAAGTCATTGCAATTAATTACTTTATACATTCTTTTGAATTATATATATATAGAATAAATTTTTAATAGCATGCATATTGTAGGAGGGCCTACAAGTGAGAGCCGTGGAATCTTAAATCTTAGTATCCAATATTGGACTAGTCGAGGTTGGGCATATGTGGATGTTAATTATGGTGGAAGCACTGGTATGTTCTTAACCTTTGTATTTCCTTTATATATATGAATTTATTCTTCATAGGATCTGATTGTTGCCTAGTTATGGGGTCCATAAAACACCACTGCAGGTTTATTGATATAAACTCCAGATTATACCTATTAAATGCTGCTAAATTTTTCATTTGTTTCATTCCACAAATATGTTGGACCTTGTAGTTATCATAACTATTATAGTACCTCATTTAATTTGTATTTTAACCTCCTATGTCTTCTGCTAAGGTTAACTCGGTTTCGTATTTGAAGGTTATGGCAGAGAATATCGAGAAAGGCTTTTGAGGCGCTGGGGAATTGTTGATGTTAATGACTGTTGTAGTTGTGCTAAGTTTTTGGTACATATAGTTCAAATATTTCTTTCAAGATTATGATGGATGGATGTACAGAAGCATTGTTCAGAATGTGGTAATATTTGTTTGGTTTCCCAGGTAGAGAGTGGAAAGGTAGATGGAGAACGATTATGCATAACTGGGGGCTCTGCTGGTGGGTACACAACATTAGCTGCTCTTGCTTTTAGAGAAACGTTCAAGGCTGGAGCTTCTCTGTATGGTGTGAGTCCCTGATCTTATCTTTAATTGAATATCATACCTACTTACAGATTGGTTTCATGAGCATTTCTTTTTGCTTGGTGGTATCAATTTTGTGCATTTGTAAATTTTAGTGAGGATTTTTTTCAGCTTTGTTACAAGCTATTAATTATCTAATTATTGATATTAGTGGGAGAACACATAGAGAAGAAGAAACTAAAAGTACAGTAAATTTGTTCATATAATATGGTGCAGAAATCAAGTGTATGCTGATGAGTTGTAGCGCTTTGGTAAATTATTTGCTTCTCAGGAAAGAAAGTGACTGTTGCCTATGGGAGATATTACTAAATCCCTTTAATGAACTTTCAGGGAGTTTTGCATGTTTTTACTCCTTATATATGAAGAATTTACAGTCCGTGAGGTCTTTAAATAAATGTACGATGTGAAAATATAATGTTCAGAAAAGGGAACCCCATCGGGACTACTTAAAAAGACCCCTAATTTCCCCAAAGGTACCAAATGATGGCAAATGCATGGCTTGCTTACTATAATGCATTTCCTTTCCAATTATTGCCTCATTTGTAATGCTGAGAATTCACTATTGCCATTCACCATATCAAACTAAATGTTTTTCGTTAAAATGATTCTATCTTCAGAAATCCTTGCAAAGAACCACCTCATGGCTGCTTTTAAGTAATTTCAGAACTAAATCCTAGGCTGCACCTTGATTTCATACTTAATAGAGCAATCCATTTAAAGTTCAATGAAATCGTAAATTGACAATTTCCTTTTGTCTCTTGTTGGTCAATGAATAGGTAGCTGACTTACAATTGTTGCGAGCAGAAACTCATAAGTTTGAATCTCATTATCTCGATAATCTTGTTGGTAATGATTAAATTACCTTTCGTGCATTACTTAATTTGGTCACTCAATATAGTGTTGAGATTGATAATCTTTTGACGCGTTGCAGGAAGTGAAAATGATTACTTTCAGAGGTCACCCATCAATTTTGTTGATAAATTTTCTTGCCCCATAATTCTATTCCAAGGATTGGAGGATAAGGCAAGGACAACACTTTTATATTTTTCTCTTTGTTTTTCTTTCATTTGTTATTGATCAATTTAGGACTATGGAGATCAGAAATTTTCTTACTCCTTATTATCTTGTTCTGTACTTCGTTTTTTTTTCTGTGCCCCTGAAGGGGCATCTTAGAAACAAGTAATGAATGACGTAGGACTGTGTCAAAGAAGGTCTTTTAGTGGTGTTATTGTTGTGTCTCTGTGAAAAAGAAAGGAGCAAGGCTTTGAGGCTTAAATTATGGGAGCTGTTATTGGTTGTGAACAATACCCATGAATTTTGACCTAAAGTTGGATGGACTCTTATGTTCTCTCTGTGATACGAGTGTCAACATGACCTGACATTGTAAGCGTTTGAAATATACCCGTGTGGACATGTTCCCTCTATATTTTACACCTTGTGCTTCACATCTTTTTAGATTATATTAGTATTGTTTTATTTGTTTATTTTATTTTTACCTTGGCAAGAAACTCACACACCCACTTTGCCTCTATGGGTACTAGAACTCTAGACCTTCTAATTTGGAAGGTGAAGAAGTACCACTAGACTACAGCCCTCGGTTAGATTATATTAATGCAAGCATGACATAATTGGTTGATATTTTTAAGTAGCCTAGTTCCCCCCTCCCCCCTACAAGTTTGTGGTGTCCCAGTAATTCTGAATTTTAATATTCTCAAAAAAATGAGTGAAAACTTGTTCACATGTTGCAGGTTGTACCCCCTGATCAAGCACGTAAAATCTACCTGGCATTGAAAGAGAAGGGTTTGCCTGTTGCTCTTGTGGAGTACGAAGGAGAGCAACATGGTTTTCGCAAGGTATGTAGAATTCTATAAGTATTATTGAATCATTTTTTTTTTTTTTCCTGTGAAAACAGTACCCTTTATCAAATTGTATTACACAGGCTGAAAACATTAAGTTCACACTGGAACAACAAATGGTTTTCTTTGCGCGTTTAGTTGGACACTTCAAGTTCGCAGATGACATCACTCCAATCAGCATTGATAACTTCGACTGAGAGTTTGGTATTTGACTTTGGAACTTTGTTATCTGTGACCCTACGACTGATCTCAATATTTTTTTGGGTTGAGAAAGTTCGATGCCATTTCATTTTTGCTGAAGCAATGTTACACTTTTCTAAAATAAGATCACTCTTTTAACTAGGTTTATTCCTGGGTGTTTTATGATATTTTCGGTTTCGTATTACATTGCTTTTGGTTATAGATGATGCTTTATATATGAAAAAGAAAAATGTATTACTAAAATTGGTCTTACGTGTTGATCGAAGGAGCTCAAGGTCGAGAAATACCCATTTGTCATGTTCATCTAGAAGTTGACCATGAATTTTCTACACCCACTATTGTAGTTGTAGTGTCACACCTTAAAAACAAACAGAAACATTGATATTTTATTTCATTCTTATCTCTTCTATTGAGTAGCATCTATTATTAGTAACGCCCATTAAACTGGCCGATATCTCAACAAAGGTGACATATGTCATTTTGTAACGTGTTTGACATTTTGGGTCGTTGAACAGTATAAGCATCTTTGCCAGTTAATAAATAAAATATAAGATTATTTATTCTATTTATTTAATGGTTCTGTATATGATTTTATTGTTTTTGTTTATAATTTTTTTTGAATACACAATAGGGTCAGGTGATGCGTAGGCATCGATTAGGCCTACATTCCTTCATCCTTCAGGATGTAGTGAAGATTATATGAACTTTTTTTACTTGCATCTCCTTGCAGTGAATTAATTCTCTCTTGAATTTTCATACAATATTTCTTGTAATTATCTAAATTTGTTGATCGCAAGCATGAAAATAATGTCAAAAATATGCAGGTTAATGCACATTTATCTAAATTTGTGGATGGTATGATGGTGTTAGCTTTGCTAAGAAGCTCATTCTGGAAAATTATATGATGTAGAATTTTAGGAACACTGTATCAACAAATGAGCAGGATATATAAGATTATCTTATGTATAGGTTGTTTCAAATGCTAAACTCTTAAAATTCTCATAATTACAATTTTATAAAACATGGATGAAAATCAATGAAAACATTTGATCAACAGCACTTTCCTGTTAATTTCAACTGCTCCAATACGTGGAACAAAAACATAAGTTTAGTTCCAAGATGAATAACGATCATATACATTTAACAGTGAACTTTACAACGAAAAGAAATAGATTGATATCTAAACAGGTTGTCATGCCCGATTCATCCTCGCGAAAACCCAAAGCCGTTAGCGAGAGCATGGACAGTAGGATTGAATGCCAGTCGTCCCAATATGCCCTGCTTGTATGGCAGGAATGTTTTCTTTTTCATATCCTCTGAAACTGCCCGGTTCACCGTGTAATGCAATTCATGAGCCGAAACCGGCCCCCTTCTGTTCGAGCTGGACCCTGAATAGGACCCTTCTAATGACCGGAAGCTCGCATTCTTAATGTCTTCATGTTTCTTGAACAAAGCTGCATATTTCTTCAGAGGATATCTATCCATTGCGCGTCCTTCAGACGCGTTACGAAACAAGCAGAAGTCCTTCAATCTCCATTTCTTGTACCCTTTTGAAGACGAAGAAGACAAGGAGGAAGTAGTGGACGACAAGGAAGGTTTTGGAATGATAGAACTAGAAGATTGTTTAGTGTTGTGCAGCTGCTGTTGTTGTTCTTGTTCTTCCCATGGGTACTTGGAAACTCTGAAAGGAGAGAGTGATCTTGTCCCTCTATGGGCTGAACTCGGAGATGGTGAAACAGAACTTCTTTCTCTTCCTCTTTCATGCTCTGCTCTTTTACAGGTACTTTCAGCCGCAGCTGCAAAAGGATCAATTCCCTTCTTTCTTCTTGGTGAGAAAGCCTCCTTGATTATCTTTTTCCCATGTGATATTGGTGATCTTACCGGGCTCTTTTGCGTTGCAGACTCATCTATTCTTTTATGTAGCAGTGACTGAGGTGGTAGCTTCAATGGTCTGATTTTACCACCATCGAAGAGTTCTTCAGCTGAGACAGAGAGGTTGTCTAGTTCCTGACTCACATCAAATGCGAAATCATCTTCATTCTTGATGATGCTTGGCTTGGATGATTTAGGCGTGCCGGGCTTTTCTTCCCAGTCGAAGGGGACTGCTGCAGAACTCCTAGCACTGCTGTTGTTGATCACAGCGAAGTCATCGAAGTCATGATAAAGCCCGGAGAAGTGTTTTGGACTATTTGGAGCGCTGAAATAGTATTCCCCAAAACGTTTCGGTGAAGGAGGAGACCGCAAACCACCGTTGAAATCCATGGCCTGCACAGGTACCATCACTTCCATCTCCTTGTACCTTCTGTTTCTCTTTGCTGCAACTTTTAAGCAAAAACAGGTTGAACACTATATAAGATATATATATATATATATATAGAGAGAGAGAGAGAGAGAGAGAGAAAGAGAGAGAGAGGGATGGAGGAAGGAAGGAAGAAGGAATAAACAGAGATGAAATGAGGGTGGGGCGGACAAGGGAGCCAAATTTTATTGACTCTTGAAGTTTGAGAGAGCCGCCTTTTATTACTACTATGCTGAGATTTTGTGACTTTTGTGCTCTGCCTTTGAATATCTGTCTTTGATTGTACTTTTACAATATATATAGCATGGTTATAGAGATTCGTGACTGACAAATGTGTGGACTTTTTATGAAGCGGAGGTAGTTGAGAACATGAAAAAAAAAAAAATACTGAAGGTATTATTAATGTGTTGCATTGTATTTGATCATCTATGGACTCTACATTTTAAGAACATGACCGACCAAGGTGTGGGACTTTAAAAAGGGCCTGTTAGATGATTGAAAAATGCTAATCCATTGATTCTAGAGTAGGCCGATTAATTTTAAATAGTTTCTTACATATTATTTAATTATTAGTTACATTTCAACGGATGATGTTACTTGACCAATCATTTAATTTCTAAAAAGTAAAATCTTTAGTCGGCCTATAAATTTTATATCATTGTATCCACAACCCTAAATAAATAATATGTAGATTAACACGTGTTTATTTCTTAAATTCACAACTTGTAGACTTTGTGTTTTGATGAGGGTAGTTAAGCTGTGAAAGCGTTTAGACGGTGTTTGGGGCATATTTTTGGAGGCTTGTGGGCCCCAATGACCTACCCCAAAAAGGCTTGAAACGTCAACTGGGGTGGGCTGGCTGGCGAGATTAGGCAAACAAACATTTTCAAGTCGTGGCACAAGTTGAATGTTTTTATTATGGTTCTAGAAATGTCCTAGATTGTTACTCCATTACTCGACAAAAACATATCTTAATCTGTCATCTTGCGCCTTTAAAGGTCCAATTGTCCAATTATACATCTCCTCACGGCATGTTTACATGTTGCACATGAATCACGAAAATGTTCAAACTGCGGCTGAATTTCATGGGATACCAATATTATTTTTATTTTTATTTTTTTGTGTCGTGGTACTTGCATCGAAAAATTTAGTCAATGCATGAAACTCCTTGGAAGCATTGGTTTATTCCTTAGCTAAACTTGTCGATTTGAAAATAATTATTAATGATAGAATGGTTTATAGGATGTGGCCTAGTGGGTATTTTTATCCCTTCAAAGCGCAATGGCTTCTGAAGAAAATTCAGAGTTGGAGAAAAAACATATCCTTTAATCACGTTGATATAAAATGTGAGAGTGAAACTTAGCGCAATGATAAGATTGTTTTATTGTAACTTGGAGGTTATGGATTTAAATTCGTTAAATGAATGATTTTCGACTTTTAGTAATTTAATGCAGCAAATTGTTGTTGTTCATAATAATTCTCAACAGGTTTAAATAATAATAATAATATTATTAATAACAACAATTCTGCAAAAAAAAAAAAAAATGCAGAGTTTGGCCATTGGCTGAACTAAAAAATACCCAGTAACAAATGTGTAATATGCATACAATTAATTACAAATGAGGCGGCGTATAAATCATTTTTTACTGGGTTAATTTCATTTATAAATTTGTCATTACCTTCATATTTCTTAATCCCGTTTATCTATCATATCAATGATTTTTTTTTATCGTTGTGTCCATGGAATATTTGTTGGGCAAAATGGTCAAGCATGGAGTAATATGTTACATTAACCAAAATTTTAGAGGATGTAAGTGAAAGTATGAAATATGGAAAGGGTCTATATAGAATATTGATAAACTTCAGAGAAGGTAAGTAGAATTAACCCTTGTTTATACTTTGCTACTTTCACAATCACGAGAAAATATACCAGCCGCCCATGTGCCCGCTTGTTGTATAACACAAACTATTACGATGTATCAGGCACATTGTATATTTTCTCCACAATGGGCTAGTCTATCTATTTTTCTTTCTTTAGTAAAAATTGGGCTAGCCATTGGGCCATCAATGTTTTGCTACTGGCCACCAATTAACAGGCCAGCTGTTCGGCTAATTGTTAACTCATTGATGACGGCCTTGTTCAGAATATCGGCCCATTATATATAACAATTTGACTCGCATAACGAGACTCAGAAGACAACCCAAAATCAAACCTTTTTTTATTTTTTATCACACTTCATTTAATCTCTTTTCCTTTGGCATCGTGCTTTTATTTTGACCCAAAAAGAAGCAACATTTTTGCTTTGAAATGTATTCAATACAATTTGGAAACATAATTCGTAACATATATTTGTTGCAAGATTTTTAAAAGCAAAAATATGAAAATTTGGGTGCGTTTAGTAACGTTTTCGTTTTCTATTTTTGCAGTCTTAATAAAATATAAACATGATTTTGCTTTCTTGAGTGAAAATAGAAAACAAAAATGATGTTTATTAACATTTGATGTTGCCACGAAATTGATAACATAAAACAATAACAATGTTTAGAAATGCATATTTGTTACAAAATGTATATGATATTCTTTAAATTTTTTATTTTATTTTTTGGTTTTTTCATTTCTATTTTATTTTTATTTTTCATGGTAAGAATTTTAGGAGTTTGTGATTAGAGGGGAGGGGGAAGGGGAGAGTAGATGACTTGAACACAGACTCTCAGATACAGGGAGCAACCCAACTACTCAGGCAAAAAGTCATAAATTTACAAATCTAATTTAAAATTAAAAATCTTAATAATACCCAATACATCATAAATACAAAGTTAGATATACTATGACAAAAACACTTCCACCAATTATTTATATATGCATGATGTATACATTTATTATGTGATATATAATATATTTAGCATATGATAATTTATTATGAATAAAAAATAATATACCTTATATGTAATAAACTATATATATTGTGTTTTAATATTGTAAATTAATTATAATTTAATATTTACATATAATATAATATAGATATGGTATATAATAATACAAAATATCTACTACATAATAATTTAATAACATTTTATTCTATGTCAAAAATTATTTTGTCACATAAAATAATTTACATTATTATTTAATATATTATATATTAAAATATATTTTTATCAAATAAAAAATAATGTGCAATATTTAATATATTCTATATTAAAAATATATATTTTTATTAACATTTAATATGCAACTTAATATATAACATAAATAATATAAATTTTATTTAATGTGTAGTAACAATAACGTTTCTGTGCTGCAGTGCCAAAAACATAATAAACATTTTTTTTATGTTTCCTCTTTTCTGTTATAGAAAAATAAAAACATATTATTGAACTCGATTTTTGTTTTCATTTTGCCTTTTTAAGGTTTGATAACAGAATATAAGAAACATTCTTCGTTACTAAACGCAGCCGTTTAATAAAAAAGTATTTCAAGTTTGAAAAAAAAAAATAACTAGTTAAAAAGGTAATTTATATATATATATATATGTATAAATATATGAATTGAATTGATTATGCTTCTAAATGAGTCAAACCAACTAGTTTAAACACGAGCTAAAACCAAATTTAGAAAATACGTCCCTTTTATTATACGAGCAGAGTTGAGCCCAAGCTCAATGTTTTGTGCTCCTCACAATTCCTAAACTAAGCTAGAATTGAGTTCACTGACAACGAGCTCGAATACACTAAAATTTAACTCGTCTTTCAAATAAAATAAAATATAAAAAAAAAAAAACTTGCAACAAGTTAATTCAGTATTTGAAAAATTAGTCCAAAGTGAGAACTTGTATATATATACACACGTGTGTGTGCCAGTGTAACCTACAGAGGAGGCATAAACCAATTATATAAAACAGTCAAGTATATAATGAACAATTAAAGCATCTAGTTCCATATTAGAGAACAAAAATGTTCCAAAGAATTCAATATCGTGAAGGGAACTCAACCAATTTTAACTAAAACACCATAGTTCGCAGTGGGACACATATGGTGCATTTTTTTCTCTCTTCAAAGGAGGTGTACCACTAATACATACGCCTTGTATGGGTTATTGATAGGCAATATAAGTATATGCATGCATGTGATTTTTAATTTAATTTAATTAATTTTCTTTCTGTTTTTTCATTTATATTTTTGGTGGTAAAGTGCACGCATGTGATTTTGTGGATAGGTAATGAATGGATTGATCACGGGTCAGTTCAAATCAAATAGTTAAGCATGTCTTATATGGACGTGCACATGCTATATATTACTTTTAATGATAATAATGCACAGGTTTTCAATAATTTCTTCAGTCACATGTTTACTATTCATTGCTGAAATTTGGTGACATGTCATTATTACGTGAGATGTGAGGATTATAGGAATTGTTTTTTTGTTTATTTTAAAATTCGGTTTCGAGTGTTCATACTCTTCAAGTTTATCTTCATTTTAATATCTGTATCAATTTGCAATCTGACAAAGACATGTTATGAAGAGTCGAATGAATCATTCCTACGTATGATTGTACGTAAAGATATACATGTCATTATTCCTAACATTTAAATGATTTAGATATACAGTGAAAGTAAACATTGAAACTATTAAGACCTATCATTCAACTGTTATGATCAATCTTAATTAAAAAACTATAATTTGCAGTGGGACACATGGTTAAATACTGACAACATTCCCTAATTATTCCATAAACAAACAATATATTATTAATAATTGATTTAGGACAATAGTAACTCACAAGCACAATAAAGTTGCTTCAAATATAAAAATAATTACTTTGTACAAAATAATATTAAATGTTATGTCCTCTACCCACAGTTTTGACTTTTTTTTAAAAAAAAATAGTGTTTCCTTCCCAAATACTCATGACATATACCAAGTAATGCTCTTTGACTTTAACCAGTGAAATTATAAATTGAAAAACAGAAAAAGCAAGGAAATGAAGTTTGTGAGGAAGGAAATTGATTTTTAGACCTATTTTTTTAGATCGATTTGTCTAATTTGAGGGTTTTTATCCCTTTGATGTAGTGAATAGAACCCGTACTTAAATTTATCCACTACATCAAATGAATAAAAATATTTTAAGCTAAAATTGACATGAGAAGTAGGCCTATGTGTCATTACTTAGTGAGCAAAGAAAGGACCAATTTTAGTGATTACAAAAGGTGAATGTGAGCACCACAAATGCCTAAAAGGACAGCATGATTGAAAGAAATTACTGATACCTGTCTTAAGGTAACAAAAACCTATCCTTAGCTGAGTTGCTATAAATGTGACTCATGGAGTCATGCTGCAATATTAACACAGAAATTGTTAGTCAAGCACAAGTGAAAGAATTTGAAGGAAATCAAAACAATCTTAGACATTTTCTATAAATGACTGATCTCATCAGATTTGTAAAACAGAAAATTTCTTACAAGAAATATCCTCATACAGATGCTACCATTCATTGGTGTAAATTGTTACCAGTAAATGGCATATGCCTTGCGTGGTTGTTGATAGGCAATACAATATATATGCATGGATGTGATTTTGTAGATAGGTAATGAATGGATTGATCTAGGATAAGTTCAAAACAAATGGTTGAGTATAGCTCATGAGTAGATAGGCACATGCATTGAACTGTGCATTTACATTGTTCTGATAAATCTAAATTTTGCTTGTGAACTCAAGGGTAATGATATCACCAAGGAGTAATATTCTCTTTTATTTGAATTTCTTTTCACTAGATTTGTTTTTTTAAAAGCAAGACTTAAATTGCAAACCCCTTTAAGAAACATAGATTGGTAGAGATAAATAGAATTTTTTTTTTTTTTTTTTTTTTTTTTGGTAGCAGTTTCAATTCTCCTATACAAAATCAAAATGAATATCCAAAAAAAAAAATTGTGGGGGTATAGCAGCATAACTTTTTTCTACATTGTGCCTAGAAAATTTCCAGACTTAAATTCTAACGAAGGAAAGTAGTAATCACACTCTAATAACAGGGAATAGATATGCAAGTTGTTTTCTATTGGACATGTATACCAAATAATAAAAATTTCAATAATTCTACGAAAAAAGAGCAGAATAGCTAGAGGAATATATAGCTACTCAATTGTCATACTATTTTAAATGGCTACTTCCCCAATGAAGTTGTAACAACCTTCCAGATTTGGGGATCAACAGTGACTCTTTTGGACAATGATGTGTTAACAATAGCCAGCCATCTGAGATTCTAGGCAATCACTCGCTACAACAAGCTCAAGCTATTTCTTAGCTATGCAATGACTCTATTCAACCATAGGAAAATTTTAACTCATTTTCTTAACATTCCTATCCCCAAGTGCCTTCATATATATGTGATGATACATACCAATTCCATAGACACCATGAGGATGAGAGTGGCACATGTGACTTACCTGCTTCTAGTGCTCCTTCCTTTCCACCACTTTTTTTTCCCTACTGCATGCGTTGCAAACCAGATTGACAACCTTAACAAGTTGATTAAGTCCCGGAGATCAGAAAATCCCCCAGTTGCATAATCTTGGACTGAACTAGCTGTCGGAGATGAACAGTATTATCCAGTGTACATTGGACCTCAAGATGGGTTGAGGGAAGCTGACAAGATTGATGCTCTGCCGGGGCAGCCTGAAGGAGTGGACTTTGATCAGTATGCAGGATATGTAACCGTGGATCCAAAAGCTGGAAGAGAATTGTTCTATTACTTTGTGGAGTCACCTCAGAAATCTTCCTGCAAACCTCTAGTCCTATGGCTCAATGGAGGTAATACAAATATACAGTGCCATAATCTTTTTCAATTATAAAGCACCATAAAATTAAAGATAAGAACATGATGTGTGTGTGTGCGCACACACGCATTATCATTTAACATAAATAAAAGAATTCATAAAATCCGATTTTTGTGTTGGGATCACCTCTCCATTAACATGTTAGGAAAGTTGTATTAAAAGAATAGAATAAAACCTTCATTATGAGATTGCTAGTGATGCAAAAATGTAGATTCATTCTTTTTGCCTTGCATTAGATGTGTTTGAGGTTTAATTTATTTAGAATGAAGTACTAAATTGAATGCTACTATTGTACAACACTTCATTAATCTGTTAATTTTATGATTTATTTGCAACAGGACCAGGATGTTCATCACTTGGCTATGGAGCCATGCAAGAACTGGGACCTTTCAGAGTCAACAGTGATGGAGAGACACTCTCCAGAAATAACTATGCATGGAACAATGGTAACTAGTAACTACCCAACTCATATTCTCTATGTTAAAAATTAACTAATGAAGATAAACTTCAGACTAAAGCCCCCAGAAAACTTACAGTGGCAAATGTGCTATTCCTTGAATCCCCTGCCGGAGTCAGATTTTCATATTCGAATACATCCTCCAACTATGACAACGCTAGCGACAAGAGCACTGCTGAAGACTCTTACACATTTCTTTTAAATTGGCTTGAAAGGTTCCCCCAATACAAAACCCAAGATTTCTACCTAACTGGAGAGAGCTATGCTGGTCACTTTGTGCCTCAGCTTGCTTATACCATCCTGTCAAAGAACAAGAACACAAACCAAACAAAAATTAATCTAAAGGGCATTGCTGTAAGTTCATCATCAATTATCCTCCGCAATTTTTATGTACAAGCAACCATCCCAGTCTCTGCAGTAGAAGACTGAGAATTTACAACTCTTTTTTATGTTTCAATTGATGGTACAGGTTGGGAATGCTTTAATAGATGATAACATCAACATCAAGGGGAGGTTTGACTTTCTCTGGACACATGCTTTGAGCTCTGATGAAGCCAACGCAGGAATAAACAAGTACTGTGATCTTCTCACAGGGAACACTTCAAAAACTTGTTACAAATATCTAGATCAGGCATCTCATGAGATTGGAAACATTGATATTTACAACATCTATGCCCCACTTTGCCATTCAACAGAAACAAAGACAGCTTCCACTTGTTCTGTAAGTCCTTGCTTTAGTGACACTTACTTTTCATGAAAACTATCAATTTGCCTACAAAATGAGGAAATCAATATGAATGCCAGGGTTAAAATTAGAATATAACACCTACAAAAAATCAATAACCCTACAACTAAGATTCACCATATATTCTTCATCCAAAGTCACTCAAAAACTGATCTTGATGTTACATATTTAGGTCAAAAGTTTTGATCCCTGCACGGACAACTATGTCAACTCCTACATGAATTTAGCTGAGGTGCAGAAAGCTTTTCATGCCAGGAATACATCATGGTCATCTTGCAGGTATTTATTCTTTTGCTCATGCAGAATTTATGAGGTTTTGTAACACATCAACATGTCAATTGAACTTCTCAACAAATCAAATTCGGTGGCTTTTTAATCTGAGAAAAGAAGGTTTATCATCCAAACTAATTGGAATTCCTTCTGAATTTTGTGCAGTGGCATTGGATGGGCAGACAGCCCTACAACCATTCTACCCACAATCAAGCAGCTTATAGATTATGGCATTAGCATATGGATGTACAGGTAAGCCCCAGTTTTTTCAACTCACATTACCCACTAAGTCCCAAGGGCCATTATTTAGTGCAATGGTACAGACTCGATAAGCTAAGCAAAACAATACAGAATGCAAGTCTACTAGAAACTGCAAAAATAACTACAAATGGCGAATGTTCATATTCCCTTTGGATGTTACTTTAATGTACATCTTTCAACACGTATGGTATAGCTTAGAAGATGGCAACATTGAAATATGCCTGAACTTTCAGTACCTAGCTGTGTATTAACTCCCTATTTCTTATTTGAATCCTATTGCAATACAATTTACCAACTGCACCAAACAGCAACTAAAACATTATTTTCACAATTTTTGCAGTGGTGACATTGATGGCATGGTTCCAATAACCTCCTCTAGGTATGCGATAAACACCTTGAAGCTTCCTGTGAAGACGGCTTGGCGTCCGTGGTATTATAACAAAGAGGTAATATATTATGGTTATATGCACCCATTGCAGCTGCAAGCTACAGGTTATTAATATGTATGCATATTGTGACAATGGCAGGTTGGCGGGTACGTGGTTGAATATAAGGGATTGATCCTAACCACAGTAAGAGGCGCCGGGCATGAAGTTCCAAGCTACCAACCAGAGCGATCACTGACCATGATCTCATCTTTCCTTCAGGGAAAGCTTCCTCCATCTTCATGAACCAGCAACATTATTAAATTTTCTTAAACTGATTCAGCAGGTTAATACATTTCTCGATGTAATCCCCTATGAAGTCCTAAGAAAGATGAAATTATATAAATGAAAATAAGGCATTTAACTTGAGCCTGTTGTTCTGGATGGTGTGTTTTAAATGCTATAATGGCCAAACTCTCATAAATAAAAGATATACAAAAGAATTAACGCGCACAACAAAACTTGATCTATGACGGAAAACAACCAGTGAGCTTTCTTCACTAAAGACTGGGCAATCAAGTTGGTTCTCAAGTTCTCTATATACAGAACAGGCAAAACCAAATCAAGAAGAGCACATTGATAAGAGGAAATCTATTATACTTTTTCTTTTTCTATTTTTTTTCCTTAACAAATATCACTCACCCACTTGCTGCTACGAAGACTTGAACCCACAACCTTCCACTATACAACACCATATAAAACAATAAAAAGAATGCTCTGTGTCATTCTTTCCGTCACCAGTATCAAGGTCACCTCGCCCATGTAGCCTGTTAACCAAATTCAAACAAGGCTAGGATTGAAAACCAAAACAGCATTGAACTTCTCACCAAAGAGCTAGCCAGTTTCAATAGCTCAAAACAACTCAGAAACGTTGAATCACTGAATTCAACGACCCCCATTGAAACCTATTTTAACATCATCTCCAATAGGTTCAATGGGGGTCGTTGAATCACTGAATTCCACTGTAGCGCTCTTTCAATGGGGGTCATTGCTGACGATCGATATACTTTTGTTCTCCTATGGTTCTCTTTGTTCTGTTCAAGACCTCAAAGGTGCTCTAGACCATTTATGTTCACTTTCAGGCCTCTCTATCAATCAGTCCAAGAGTCTCATTTTCTTTATACAATTGAACAATTGTTTGATTAAGCTTTTCCTTATACATTTGTTTTGGATTTCAATATTTATCCTTCCTAAGAGTACACTAACTGATCTCAACAAAGTCTGTTCTATAACGGTGGAACAGAATAGCAGTCTCAAGACACATTTGGCAAATCATCACAGCGAAACAGAGCTTACTATGGTCAAGGTGGTTCAGCACTTACCAGCTCAGAGGTTGAAGCATCTGCAAGACAAAATTCCTCAGCAATGTTCTTAGAATTGGAGAATAATCCTTCAGCTCAGACCAGTTGCACACTCCTACAATAATTTGTTCTCCAAATGCCCATTTGTTTCCCCATTTGGTCATTTTTACAAGCACGTTGTGCCTTCTACACATGCCCACCCTCTTGCAGAGATTTCTATGGAATGGACGGGCAAATCCTCGCAACCTTGTCAGGAAATTGTGTCTCTCAGCTGGTTTACAACATTTGGATGGAGCGGAATAGGAGGTACTTCAAAGGTAGCTCTCTCTCTCTCTCTCTGCAAATGCTATTCTTGATCAAGTTTTAACCTCAGTTCGTGAAAATTTGTTGTCTTGCTCAGTGAAGATTCTTTCAATGCGAGGCATATTGCTGTGTAATGGGAGCTCCCTGGCTGTTTCATTAGACCACCTCCTATGCCGCCGGATTAATCTACCGACAGCAAGTTTGCCGTCCACATTGGTGCTCACCGGATAGTTGCTGCAACATAAATATATACTCCCTCTGTCCATAAATATAGTTTAACCCTTCCTTTTGGAATAAGCTAATGACTAATCACCAAGTACAAATGGCTCTGATACAAAAGGGGGAAAGCAGCGCAATTTTTAAAATAGATTAAAGCAATATTTAAAATAAATAAAAGCAATAAATAAAAGCATAAGCATAAATATAAATAGAAATATAGTACAATTACTAAAATTAACTTTTGATTATATGAATAAATTAAAGCAATAAATAAAAGCTTAAAGCATAAGCATAAATATAAATAGAAATATAGTACAATTACTAAAATTAACTTTTGATTATATAAACTTAAGTACAAAATACACTTATTAAATTACTGAAAAGAGTAGACAATTACCCTGTTGAATGTAACATATTGTGGTTGAATACGACAAGGGAGGAAGCAAAGCAAGATATAAATATGAAAAA